CTTCTCCTCCTGCCCTCAATCTTTCCCAGCATCAGGGTCTTTTCAAATGAGTCAGCTCTTTGCATCAGGTGGCCAAAGTAGTGGAGCTTCAGATTCAGCAGCAGTCCCTCCAATGAATATTCAGGATTGATTTCCTTTAGGATTTAGGTTTGATTTCCTTGCAGTCCAAGGGACTCAGGAAACTTATCCAGAACCACAGTTTGAAAGCATCAGTTCTTCAGTGCTCAGCCTTTTCTATGGTCCAACTCTCATATCCAAACATGACTACTGGAAAAACCATAGCTTTGACAATAGGAACATTTGTAGGCAAAGCAATGTCTCTGCTTTTTAATACGCTGTCTTGTTTTGTCATCCCTGGAGGAGGGCATGGCAACCCACTCCAGTATTCTTGCCACAGAATCCCTGTGGATGGACAGAGGACCCTGGCAGGTTACAGTCCATGAGGTTGCAGAGAGTCAGACATGACTGAGAAACTAAGCACAGTTTTGTCAGCTTTTTTTCTTCTGAGAAGCAAGTGTCTTTCAATTTCATGGCTGCTGTCACCATTCACGGTGATTTTGGAGCCCAAGAAAATAGTCTGTCACCATTTCCATTGTTTCCCCATCTATTTGCCATGAAGTGACAGGATCACATACCATTCTCTTATTTTTCTGAATGTTGAGCTTTAAGCCAGCTTTTTCACTCTCATCACTTTTATCAAGAGACTCTTTAGTTCTTCTTCACTTTCTGCCATAAGCGTGGTGTCATCTGAATATCTAAGGTTATTGATATTTCTCCCAGCAACCTTGATTCCAGCTTGTGCTTCCCCCAGCCTGGCATTTTACATGACGTACTCTGCATATAAGTTAAATCAGCAGGGTGACAATATACAGCCTTCACCTACTTCTTTCCCAATTTTGAACCAGTCTGTTGTTCCATTTCCATTTCTAACTGTTGCTTCTTGACCTGCATACAGGTTTTTCTGGAGGCAGGTCAGGTGGTCTGGTATTACTATCTCTTGAAGAATTTTCCATGGTTTGTTGTGATCCACACAGTCAATGGCTTTAGCATAGTCAATGAAGCAGCAGTGACTGTCTTTCTGGAACTTCTTGCTTTTTTGATGATCTGACGGATGTTGGCAATTTGATCTCTGGTTCCTCTGCCTTTTCTAAATCCAGCTTGTACCTGTGGAAGTTCTTGGTTCACATAATGTTGAAGCCTAGCTTTGAGAATTTGGAACATTACCTTGCTAGCATGTGCAATGAGTGCAACTGTGTGATAGTCTGAACATTCTTTGGCATTGACCTTGTTTGGGACTGGAATGAAAAGTGACCTTTCCAATCCTGTGGCCACTGTTGTGTTTTCCAAATTTGTTGGCATATTGAGTGCAGCACTTTCACAACATCATCTGTTAGGATTTGAAATAACTCAACTGGAATTCCATCACCTCCACTAGCTTTGTTTGTAGTGATGCTTCCTAAGGCCTACTTGACTTCATATTCCAGGATGTCTGGCTCTTAGGTGAGTGATCACACCATCATGGTTATCTGGGTCATGAAGATCTTATTTGTACAGTTCTTGTGTGTATTCTTGCCACCTCTTATTAATATCTTCTGTTTCTGTTAGGTCCATACCATTTCTGTCCTTTATTATACCCATGTTTGCATGAAATGTTCCCTTGGTATCTCTAATTTTCTTGTAGAGATCTCTAATCTTTCCCATTCAAAAGCTTAACCCTTAGTAAGAGTTCAGTAAATATTTGTGAACTGAAGGAATGAATGAACAGTGAAACAGCCTTTTATTATAGTCCACATTGTATTAAAAGTTATTCCATTGGGAAACCTTATAAACCGATGTATTTCAGGCTAGTCAGATTAGGGTAAATGGAACACATTTAATAGCTTCTCTGAAGGATCCACTTTTTTCCAACAGTAAAGATGGATGTTAAGTACAGTCTTCCTAACTTCATGCCTGAAAGTGGAACACGTATTTTAATATATAAATGTAGAACTTTCCAAGTTCTTTGACCTAATGTTTTTCCAGAAATGTTAGTGCATACTGCTTTTGAACACCACTGAAAACACCTTGTAGTGAGATGTCTTTGGCTCCTTTGGCATTCTTAGCTTGTGTCAAAAAAGATATTAAACTATCTATAGTAAAAGTAGAGAAGAGTTTTATTTGAGCCAAACTGAGGACTATAGTCTGGAAGACAGCTTCCAAGATTACTCTGAGAAACTGCTCCAGGGAAGCATGGTTTTCAACATGGTTTTATATCTTGTCAAAACAAAGAACATTAAACAAGCCATGGATATATTTCTTCAAGGTTTCTACAAAAACAGACCAGCACTGAGTAGTGGGTCAGTGTGGTCTTGGCACCTGGGAAGGGAGTCTTATCACTGAAGGAGAACCAGTGTGGGTGTTCCAGGGAGGGAGGCATTTAATCTTGATTTTTAATATGGACTTTCTTAACTTCTGGTCAGTATGTCCTTTTCTTTAATAATTAAAGCAGATGTACAGTGTATGCTTGAAAGTTCACAAATAGGCTGTTTTAGTTAGCATAATATTAAAGATAACTCATACATAAGCCAGAATGTCTTTCCCATACCTCAATATATGAAAATTACTTTTGTCACTTAGATGCAAAATAAGCTTCAGTAAAACTCTGGTGGACTTCCTTTTAGTCAAAATCAAATGTGGCAGGTAAAGCAATATTACTATAGCATGCTAATGAATAGCTTTATTATTTTTTTCAATACTTTGCAAATACTTTACAAGAATAGCCCATATGATAAGTTAGAATAAGAAGGGTACAGAGTAGAAATATCTTACCTGGTTAGCCCTCTGAATGATATAGATAAGATAATTTTCATGCAAGTACTCTGAAAATAAAATACTAGCAATACAAATAATCAAATATGTAAATAATAAAAATTTGTTTAAGAATGATTCATGTCAATGTATGACAAAAACCACCACAATATTGTAAAGTAATTAGCCTCCAACTAATAAAAATAAATGGGAAAAAAAAAGAATGGTTCATATGCAGCTGATTATTTTAAGATTTTTTCCAGTATCATAAGCTCTGTTCCAAGTGAAAACCTGCATTCATCCCCCACTATACAACCAATTATACTTTATCCCTTGGGCAGGCACTGTGAGGCCCTCTCAACCCCCATGCCCGCTTCCCCTAGTACACATTCCAGCCTTCGTTCCAGTTTCTGGGAGGCGCTCACTTCTTCCCTGGCTCTAGGAGCCATTGATTCAGGCATAAGCACATGACTCGGGCCAGAACAATGAGAATGGAGAGCAAGATTTGGAAATCAAGCCTCCTTGCTCTTAGGAGGATGTTTCTAGAATTACTGCTAGGTTTCTCCAGTCATGGAGGAAGACTTTTCTTGTCTTTAGAGGTACTAGGAGCCAGTTTGTGTGTCTGTGGGTGATGTGACACCCCAGAAAGCAGAGTGGAGAGGAAAAAGAGACTGGGTATTTGAGAACATTGTTGGGTCAGTGAACCAAATTTCTCTTGTGATTCAGTGTATCTGCATTGTTGTTAATATCAGTGTAAACTGGATGTTTGGTTATGTATCACCAAACACATCATAATAAGTGAAATTCCTTTCTTCAACAAACCTATACTAAGAATTCATTACATTTTAGGCTCTGTTATCCAAAGGTAGTTTATATCTCTTTCGTGCCCTCAAAGAAGTTGCAATCTGTTAAGAGAAACAGAAGGTAAATACCCAGGCCGCGTGGTGATCTACTGAGAATGTCCATCATAGACACAGCCAATAAGAGGATGCAGAGTTTAAAGAGAATTTGAAAAACTATAAAATTGACTAAAAGTGTTTTTTAAATTATGATCACACATGGTCAATTTTAAATAATGCTAATGCAGTGATAGAATATTTCTCCCTGTCTGGATGGACCATACCCACTGCCTCAGGCCTCCAAACCTGGGGCATCATTATTAAATGACTACCTCTTAAATCACCCTAAATCATCTTTGTAGCTTGAAGTTCACTGTTTCAGAAATAAGACTTCTAAAGAAATCTGCTCTTTGATTATATGGCAGCCAGAAATCTTGATTGCAATAATGGAGGAGAGGTATCAAACTATAACAAGGTTGGCAACAGGGAGTATTTCAGTATTGAGTGAAGACAACTCAGGAACTTACTGAAACTATATGAGTACCATAATGTGGTAAGGAAAATTATATGCCCACAAAATATTAATGCTAAAGAGTGGAGAGCTGATATATACTTCCAGTTTGTCCTTACTGAGAAATTGATATCTCTCAGCCAGGTGAGGCAAAGAGAACAGACTCAGAAAGGACTCTGGAAGTTTCTACTAAGGTAATTTAATCCATCAAGCCTGTTCTGTGCATCTCCCATTCTTGCTGTGATCTAGTTCTTATCAAGAGCTCATTTGATCAGTGCTCTGTACCTCACTGTCTCATGAATGATTGTTCCAAAATAGCTTTAACTGTGGTCTTTATCCATTGTAGTATGAAAGACAGTTGACTTCAGCATTATGGCTTGGCTCTTTCCTACATAATGGGTACAGATTGCACTGTGTTGACCTAAAACAGATAGACTGCCAGTTATTTCTCCTGCAGAAATAGGTTTATTTGGGATCATCAAAATATTGCAGTTTGGAGTATGCAACCTTGACTAGCCACGTGTGAGTCCCCACACAGCAAGGAGACGAGAACATTTTTAGAGGAGGGGAGAGGAATTTGGGAGGGCCATAGTAAACAGAGTCCATTGGAGGAGTTGAAAGTTTGAAGTGTAGTGTGGCTTTTCATTGGCTGAATTGTGATGGGCTCTCATTAGCTGGCCTCCTGCCGAGCAAGAAGAGAGGGTTTTCCTTTTTACTGTTGGGCTGTGCTGTTATTGTAGGGTGTGAGAAATTCCTGTTCTGGATTCCCAACTATTTTCTTGAGCTTTCTGTTTATTAATTAGTGATTTAAATATTTTTCCCCTCTGTTATTCTAGTCTCTCACTGCTGCTGCTGCTGCTAAGTCACTCAGTCTCTCACAGTGGACAATAATTGTGCATATATATGTTCTCATATTACCCTTTTTTTCTCTAATGTCTTTTTTCCTCTAATAACTTACATCTTCCTATGTCTGCATAATTGTATCATATCACAGTCTTAATCTGTATCTTATCTGCTAAATCTCATCAGTTGTTTGAGGAGATAGAGAAGTAGAGTAAAAGATGATTTAGTAAGTGGCAGAGTCATTTCAAAGATAGAGGGGACAGATTAATTCCTTTCCTAAGTAGCTCACATTAGTGAACATTATCTTTATTGTTCTGTTTGATTTAGACTATCTATAAAATTCGTGATATACAATTAACTGAAATTTTCACTTTAAAAGAAATTTTAACTCATCTTTCCAATTGTTGCATTAATTTTTCTTTTTAGACAAATAAAATGAGACCTTTATTAAGTTTCAGAGTTTGACTAAGAAACTTAAGAGTCAGTGCAGTAACATGCATTTGCAAACTCACTGTATTGATTTATTTGATATGGGATCATCTTCCAAGCCCTCTCAAGCCTTTTGACCATGTCCCTAAAAGGATATGCATGACTTAAGGCAAGGCCAGCACTGTATTCTGTGAGTGTGTGATTTATTGTTTTCCAAAAAGATCAAAAAGAGTCATGAGTTCAATGAATGCAGCTAAATTCTCCTGCAGTTGAACAAATCCATTTCCTATTGACTTTCTTCAAAAATATGTGACTATAGAACTGCTTTCCCACTATTCTTAGCAGTGACATCTTGGTCATACACTTCAATTAATAATAACTTGTAGATAGCCCTGAGGCATCAGTGTACCAAACTTAGTATTCCTTGTTACATACTAATTTAAGATACTGAGCTTCAATTATGAAATTTGTTGTTCAATTTTTACACATTACATTTAGTAGCCCCTAAATTTGGTGTGTCTTTTAAGTCCTCTTTCCCCACAGATCATAAATCAATCTCTTTTTTTTATTGTATGAAAAAATCAGCACACACAATAGATTTCAGAAGTGGCTTTAAAATGCATGCCTACTACATATCTGATAATATAATAGCATTCAGATTAAAGAGATTTTTCTTTCATTCCCTGTGTTGACAGTCCTCCTTTCCAGTCTTTCCCTCTTCCTTCCTGCTTTCCTTTCTTCTCATTTCCCCTCCACCAAATCCAAAATTATTTGGAGTCACTATGTAGACATTTTTTCCCCTTTATAATGAGTTCAACAGTGTCAGTGTCAGCATTTGGACTTATATAGAAAATAACTTCTTCATTATTTATGGTAATAAAGGGAGATGGCTTTGTGGGAAGTTCTCTGCACTTTTTAGAGCCAGCAGCCAATATGAAAGGGTTGGAAGGCTTTCTGACCCTTGATGCCATTCCCAAAGACTTCAGTTCTGCCATTAGCATTTGATCCTCGGGGTTAGGGCACTGCCCCTTATTAAGATGCAAATCCCTCTGAGCCAGAAAATGCCATAAGCTGCTGTGATCCATTAACATCATATGACTAATTCATAGATTGGAATATTTCCAACAGAATTAGTCTGAGAGCAGATTTTGTAAGGAGCACTAGAGTCTGAGAGAGAGTCAGAACTAGATGGGGTCACCAAACATCTAGAGAACAGTAGAAGACCATCACAAGCAGACAGAAAGAACAACCAGAGGCTGGAGAGGTTGAAGAGAGGCTTCTCTGACTTCCATTTTTGCCCATTCTTATTCCTAAGTGTGAATATTTTTTAAATGAATGAAATGAAAACATCCACTCAAACACCTTAGAAACTTGGAGCAAAGGACATAGTTTCTTGTGTAATTTAGTTTGGGATCACATAGGGCAAGAGGCAAGGAGAGTGGGAAGCATCAATAGAAAATAAATTGTAGATGATCAAAGCATGAAGAAGTGGGGAGGGGGGTAGAAAGAGGTTAGTTTTTGCATTTACAGGATTTTAGAACATGTACATAATTCTGATAATGACTATTAAAACTAGACACAAAAACTGGTCAAAAGTCTCATTTAAGTCTAATCGTTTAATATTTGTTTTACCAAACTAGAATTTGATATGACTGCAAATGCTTACTTTTTATCTTCCTATATTTAGTAAGCATTCCTGGTGTCCTTTTGTGTACACGTTTTATTGCTAATATTCTGGGGAATACAGTGAATAAGAAAAACACAAAAGCTGCTCCCAAGTAGCTATCAAAGTGTTACAAAAAAGAAAATTAAGCAATAAATACAGTACCATGATGTGATTTCTTTAGAAAGAGTAGAGGAAGCACAATGTGGTATACAGAAAGTGTTAAATAATACCCAGTACCCCTTTAAGTTATAAATAACCTGTTCAGCCTTTTCTCTAAAGATTGGCAGTTGGGGGTTGAGAACTTACATGCAGATCACCCAAGGCAAGCCTTCAGTTATCCACTGAGATAAGGGTTGAAATCCTCATAGAGGAAAAGAGCTCCCGCTCCCACCTTTGCTAGAAATTCTCAAAGGTTAGTAAGGCTTTTAGGGAAGAAAACAAAAATTAAAGTATTTCCCTGAAGCTTTTTTCTGAGATTATTCCTTGCAGATCAGAATTCCTCCTTTGTGTAGTGGAGGATGATTAGGGTTTGGGAGATGCCCAAGTGTTAGAGGTTAGAACAGGGTCTTCTTAAGCTGATGTGGCAGAAAGCACCACAACTAAGAGAAGGTTAAAAGTGGACGACTGTGGGGAAGTTGGACAACTATGACGCAGAATTTTGGAAGGAGAAACTTAATGGACCACAAATTTGAAGGAGCCAGAGGAAAGTACAGAAATCAGGATATGAGGCCAGAATTCTATCAGTTAGTCACACTGGATCGCACAATAAGTGACAGTGTTTGCGGCTTACTTTTGTGAAGTGCATTGGAGAAGAGCCTGAGGTCAAACTTACTGGACTGGAGCTGAGTGAATATTGCCAGCCAAAGCCAGTCTTCCTTGGACAGATCAGCATCTCTGTTGTTGTGATCTCACACTACTTAATCATAAGTGATGAGAATCATTCTTGTCTTCAATGCCTCATGCATTTATTAAGCAACAGCTGTGTTCCAGGTTCTATGCTAAGTATACATGGAGAGGCAAGTGAAAGTAGTTGATGCTTCAGAACCTAGAGTCCAGAGGGGTAAAGCTACTATCCTTCAATTAAAACCAATTTTTTTTTTAAAAAAAAGAAAACCTAGAGAGAGAAGTTCTTCGTAAAGTAAAACCGAGCTTCAAATCAACTTCATCTCTGATTAAAATAAGGTTATCTTGACCTGTTAAAACATCCAGCTGTACTGTCAGAGGCAAAAATAAATCTCCTCTGATGAAACATTAAAAAAAAAAAAAAAAAAGAATGTAGAGTTCAGAGGGCATGTATAAAACACCCCCAAGCCAGACAGAGCTAAGTTGCATGTATTTTTGTGAGGCTGGCCAAGAACTGGTCTTAGAAGTCTAGCTTCAACATGTAAATAGTCAAGATTAAGCTTTTCACAGAACTCACATTATTAATCATAAAAATCCTTTGGATCACAGCCGTTTCATAGCTTCATGTACTGTAACACTGACCTTGAAGACACTTGCCTTTAAAGGATTGATGAGCAGAAAATAGGAACACTTTTCAGGTAACACTCAGGAAACTTTGGGATTGTCATATCTGTTTTCTTGCACCTGCAGCTCCCGTCCTTCTGCCCATCTGTTCCTTTCACTTATGATGATGGAATGCTACACCATGGGCAGGATTTTCACTTCTCAATATAGAACCCATGTACCTTACCTCATGGTCCAACTGACTTCCTGAGAATAAATCTTTGTCCTTGTATTTCATAAGCAACAACAAACATTGACTTTGTTGTTAGCATGTATGAGCCTGCATTCATTCAACAAACTATACATTTTAATCAATAAGTGCCCCAAAATTTTGGATTTTAATGCCCTGAGAGATCAACTTTTAGTCAGTTATTGATTACAATTTGAGGAGCCTTGTGTCCAGGCCAAATGCAATGTGACTTATTCTCTGGTGAGTAACTCCTCTTCATTTGAAGTCTTAAAGTTGTTTTAAATGTCTTAAACCAAGTTTCTTCAACAGCAGTGTCAGAACTGTGACATTTTATGCTAATTTTACAGTGAAAAGAATTCTTTAGCAATGTGTTGAAAGGCAATGTGAGTTCATCTGAGTCTTTGATTATATTTAATAGTTTTGCTGTCAGACAGTGAGTCATGATCTTTTTGTTGTACTTTACAGTTTGTATTTACACCTCCTTGCATTTGATAAAAGCAATGTAGCAGGCTCTGCCTGTTGACAATGATGGCTCCTTTATTTTAATCAGTGCAGAGGAAAAAAGTAAAACTTGGCACAGTGGGATGTAAAACCCCTTCCTTCTGCCATTTAAAATGTAGTAGTCATATGTGTAACCTTGTAGGACGACTTTGTGAAACAAAATGTCAGCATATCTAGTCATTTGATTTACATGAGAAATTTTACTTTCCTTCTATCAGGTTCAGTTTAGCAAATGAGGTTAAGAAAAAAAATTATCTTCTCTATTTGCAAGCCTTGGTGATATAACCATTTATAAGCATGCCTATGTAATATTTTATTTAATGGGAGAAAATCAATGCCAATTTTCTCTCCACTCCAGTGAGGCTGAATTTATCTTGCAGTAGGGTGTGGTCAGAATAAATGAACTGCAAAGAGAACACTGACTGAGGAGTGGGATTGGTATTTCTGAATTCCTATTGGACTACAATAATTGTAAATAATTTATGTTATTTGCCTCCATCCTAGGCTGCATTTTTTAATTTCCTCTAGAAGTCTTTGAGCTGATTAGCTTTGCAGGTTTTCTCCCCATGTGTGCTAACGTCTTTAGTTAGATGTCACAAATTTGAAATAGGTTTTGTTCCTTTTGGTGAAAATAATTTGGAGTTCAACAAAGTAGACATCTTGGTACCTAGGTACTAGCCCTTCAGGTAGGAGTCTGTTTAAGATACAAAGAAACAGATGAAGTTATGGATGAGTATAAGGTGGAGTTTGGTAAGCTTTTTACGTGTAGGGTCAGATAGTAATTATTTATGGCTTTGTGAGTTGTACAGTTTCTGTCATGACTACTCAAGGCTGCCAGTGTAGCACAAAAACAGATACAAACCACATGTAACTGAATGAGCAGCGATCATGATAGTGTTCAAATAAAACTTCATTCAAAACAAGGATTGCCCTAGTGTAAGATATCAGCCTCCTGGGACCATGTTTTGGCACATTACTAAAAAATAGCAGTCACAGAAATTTTCTTTCCACATTCATATGGGGAAAGTGTTGGGGTTCTTTGAGACACTGATGAGTTATTTAAAATGGTATCTTAATACCAGCAAACCCTTTCTCTAGGCTTGCAAGATTCAAGGCAATAAGTGCTTGAGTAAATAACCAAGAAAGGACCGGGTGAGACCAGGCAGAAGCGGCAGACAGTCGAACCACCTAGTATGTTTTCTCGGGTTCTGGTAATGTGGGGTGGAGTGTACTGAAGTGAGAATGGAGGAGGGAGTCTGGTTGTAGGAGAAGTTGGGACCAGGAACTTGCTAGTATGTTTGTTCCAAATCAGAATCCACTCAAGCCTTAAGGAAGTAGGAATTAGCAAGATATTGGGGTCCTGGGACTTCTCTGGCAGTCCAGTGGTTAAGACTCTGTGCTTTCAATGCAGGGGGCACGGGTTCGATCCATGGTTGGGGAACTAAGATCCCACATGCTACACCGTGTGACCAAAATAATAATAATAATAATAATGTGGCCCTAACCTTGTGGACAATTCAGAAAGGAGAGTAAAGTCTAGTAAGAACACTGGACTGCTTGGTAGGCACTATTCTGGACTGCAAGAAGCTATCTCTGTTGGGGGAGCTGATGGAAGCGAGGGCGTGGGAGGAAGCAGAGAGAAGTTAATGAGATGTTCAAAAAATGGAAACTTGTGTTTTCAGAAGCTAACTTAGACACTCAAGTTTTCCCCGAACAACCTAATTCCTGGAATATCACAAGATTTAATTAAGGGACCACTGAAACATGTGCCGAGTTTCTGACCTACAGGTTGGGTAGATGTCTACAGATAGCACAGCAAAGACTAGGGAAGGAGATAATCAAGACCCAAGAGCAGCTGACAGAATTAGGGTTGCATGTTTTATGCTTACTCAGGACAAAAACCGTGAGGGCCAGAAATGAACTCTCTCTTTGTAAAGTCTCATTTATACCTCCGCAGAAAAATCAGACACTTATGCCTAACGCTGCATTGTTCCATGAAAATCTTAGCTACTGAAAGTCATATTGTCTAACCCTTTTTTTTCTGACACATAAAGAACTTTTACATTGTAAAAAGATTTTTAAAGATGCAGTGAGAGTTTAATTTGAAAACGGAAGCATTTTCAAGATAAAGAGTGGAAACAAAGAGCAGCATAATAGGTATTATGTTCGGTAGACATTTCAAGATGAGTTATTGTATTGTAGGCATTTTTAAAATACAGAGAACAGTGCTTTTAACCTTTATGTGTATATTTGAACACTCTTAAAACATTTCTGCTTTTTGTGACAAAAATTTTGATGTACTTACAAATGAAAGAAGAATGCCTGGTGTTAATTATATAAAGGCAATGTAAATATATAAAGCACTTTGCTTTTATAGCCATGAGTCAACCCGTATATACCATTTGGGTAGGTTTATTGTAAATTTCCCATAAAGCAATATTCTGTCTGTTCTTTAATAGTATGGGTTTTGCCATTGGTGGAGAATGATAACCACCCTTTAATTTCACAATTAGTGGCTTCCCTCTAAGATAAGATTTGCCTGAAAGGACAAATGCATTCCAGTTCAGAGAAATTAATATCTCCTAGGTGAACAAAGCTCTAAACCGAATACCAAACAGACTTCATCTTAGAGCCCCACAAGAGTTGGAAACAACAGGCCTGATAGCTCTGTCACATGGATCTTCGGCAATCACATTTGGGGAGCTGCTGTGACCAACAGAAATAGAGGAGCTGAATTTGAGATAAACAGAACTGAGATGCTTCCTGAGGGAGCCAGGAGAGAGGAGATCATTGAAAGCAAGCAGCACTGACTGTCCTCAGCACCCCTGACTCTCAGGATAAATATTAGGAAATCTACCTAACTGTGGGCCCAAGGCTGATTCTGGAAAAGAACCTTGTGCCAGGCAGCCCATCAGCATCAGTGGAGATCCTATTGCATTAGAGACAAGAGCCATTTCACGGGATCCAAATGCAACTAAATACTTGAATTTGAAACTTAGAAATGTGAGTGGCACTCATTTTATTTTGAAGTTGATTCATTTATTGAGTTTCCACGATATGGCCAGCTCTTTATGAAATTTACATTCACATAAGAAAGAATAGCACTCATTTTAAATCAGGAGTGGGGGGAGGGAGGGGAATACAAAACAGGAAAACTACAGTGATAGCAGAGGCCACTCACAGTTGTCCAGAGTTGAGGACTACCCTGAGCCGTGTGCCTCAGCGTGTTCCAGCCGCTGATCTACAGCCCTCCAAGGCTAGGAGAGTTGCCACCAGCAGAGGAAACCCGGCCACACAACCTGCTGAGATCCGAAACCTCGGCTCTGGCTGTGAGGTTCCTGGTTTGTAAGCCACTCATTTAACCTCCCATTCTCCATATAGACAGTTGAGTTTGGACACCAGAAATGGCCTGGGGAAGTTTTTCCCATCTCTAGGAGCACCTGTGTCTGTATTTCAGAACCTCCTCAGAGCCAGCTCTCTTGAGGAGGTTTTGAAATGCACTCTGTCCCCACCGTTTCTGTAACCCTCCCTCTGCACTTTCCATGAAAACGTGGAAAAGCTCCTTCCTCACCAAGTGGTTTGCCTCGACACCAAACAACTCACTTGGTAATTGGTTCGACTGCAATAAATCAGCTGAACAATGATTTTGGAAGAGTTGTAGCTCTATATTGCAGACCTTCTTCATTCAAACTGCTTCCCACAGATCAACTGGGGGCTCTTAGAGAAGATGAACTCTTTTGGTTGCTAATCTGAGAGGGAAACCCAGCAAATCATATTCACTTAGTCTCTTTGTTCAATTTGCCTGTGATAAACTGGACTCTGCTGGTTTTGTGCCTGCTTTATGCAATAGGGATAATGGAAATAAAATGAATACTTCAGAACAAAGGCAATAAAGCATTATTATAGCTAATGAAGGAATGATTTGTTTTGAATGTCAATTGCTTAGAGGCAAGGATTTTCTAAAAATCAAATAATAAATGGTCACCATATTGGCAATACAAATATTCCCTTATTGATCTTAGATGGAAATCAGTTTTCAGAGAGAAGAATGCCCGACATACTTCAAAATAGATTCTAAAGCAAGTATCTGTGATGAATGATCAAGTTCCTAACTTGCTTACATTACATTTTTAGAAGCACCCTGATATTTTGATTTATAACTTTTCTTTCATTGCTTTGATATCTAAATTCTCTAGGCTAATACCATTGAAATGAAAGTTTCATTAGTTGAAGCAATCAGAACAAGGCTATAATGCAGTAGTTCTCTTAAGCCTGCACTAGACTTACCCGGAGAGTTTTTTTAAAAGACAGATTCCCAGGACAGGTCTTCCAGAGACTTTGAGTCAGAAGATCAAGCGGGACCTAGAAATCAGCATTCACATTAAACAGCCAATGTGTTTCTCTGCTTGAGGCTCTTGATCTCATTTTGAGAAAAACTGCAATAGAGTACATCCTGCTTTTGAATCAGGTTTCACAGGACACACTTTAGAAAGAGGACAGAAAGTTAAGAGGCTTAAAATAGCTGGAATCGAACTGAGATCAAGCCTCTGGTTCAGAGTAGAGTGCTAAAAGGGAGGGAAAGGATAAAAAGGAATTTATACAGATGGGCCAGTCACCTCGTTCCCCTTTTCCTGATCTTACACCAAGTCTGCATCTTACGAGAGAGCCCAGAACTAATCTCCCCCCAGTCTTTCATGCATCCACTGAGTGCAATGCGCCCTGCCTTTCTGGAATAAATG